GGATATCATGAAAGCTTCAGTGTGGTCTTCCTCAATGGATTTCCTTTAGTATCCTGATTGTATTCCTAAAATGGATTTCATAATCATGACTTTTTAGGCACGGTTAAGTCAGTTCACATTTCTGTTTTCTATAGGTCTTAGTAGAACTCGCAAGACCAGTGGTGAAACAGACTTTTAGGTTGGAATGTTTGTGTTTAATAGTGCACAAAACTTGCAAACACTCTTCCTTTCATATAAGGACCTACAATACCACTTTAGTGTAGTAAATTCCTTTTAAAAAGCTTCTCAAAACATGGAGAGTTATACAAAATCTGTGTGGTGACAACAGTTTCATGATGATGATAACAAGTTTCACAAGCTCTTGAAAGCCTCATATGTCTCCGGTCTCATCTTTTGTGTGCTGCCTCATTCCTTTCTCCAACATCCTTTACTGACAACAGCATCTTCCCCTGAGATCAAGTGAGTAATGCCTATAATTTTCAAGCTAACTACCTTTAATTACTGATGGCAAAAAGATAGTTGCATTACCAGTGAACATTAGTGCTTTGCAGCCCCCTTTGAATCCTCCAAAATCAAACTGAAATAGCACCACGTAGCTGAAAAGCGTCACTTTTATATGAAGGCTTAATGAGTTTGTTAAAGCATTTTAATGGTATTCATCTTATTTTTGCTAGAGCTGTAGTTTTACTGCAATCCTCATACTCAGAAAGAGCTAGAAATGTTGAGTATGCAGAGAGATTTGTAGTTACAAGTTGAGTGTGTTTCCCAGTCACTTACAACTAGAGGATTGTAACTAGGAGGAAATCTGCAGGCCAAATTTGTGCTTATTTTCTTTACAGCTAGAGATTCCCTTCAGAGTTGGCCAGCAGCTGCTTGTCTAAAATATTCGTCTTTAAAAACTAACATCTTTAAGCTGCCCCCAATAAGACTCCTGAAAGCTGTAGACTGATGCCATTGTTGTATTTTCAAGATGCTTTAGTGGTGTCATTTCATGAATTTCTTTTGGTATCTTTTTTTGCTCTCATGAGATCCCTTTATTTTAGGGAAGTTTCTTACTGGTTTGTCATTGGACTTTTATTTTTGCCTTTACATCCTCTTTTCAAGTGGCTTTTTTGATCCTGCTTTAACCTATGATGTGTTTTGTACACTCCCTTATTTCAGTGCCTCTAATATATCTGGCTGCTTTTCCTTAAAGCTAACGTGGCTAAAATAAACAAGCTTTACCTCAAGTTCCTTCCACTTGCCATCTTCCTTCTAATTCAGTCCTGTGACTTCATATTCGTTTGCATGATTTTCCCTTGTCCCTTCTGCATAAGCAGTAGAAGGGTTTTGGTGCAAATCCCCTTTCTCCCTGCCCTTTGGCTGCCGTGCCCATGGCCGCCAGCTC